GATGCATTCAATTGCTATTAAACGCCAATCGAGTCGTGAATAATGAGTCAAACATTGATAACAATTAGTAAACAATTCAATGATTACGACATTCACTCACTTTGTTTGCATTCAATGCTATACTATTGAAGTCTAACACAACGTTACGTTGAGTCTTACGATACACTCAATCGCAGTCACAATCGCCAGTCAACACAACCTCACAAACAAACACTCATTCACTGAATCATTCAACCATTGAATGCCTTCATTGCCACCTTCAGCGCCAAATTTGAACACCACTTCACACTCATTGCTCGCATTTTATAACCAATTTATCTCACAAATGCCTATTAATTCATACATTGTTACAGTATATGTGGTATAACAACAACATTGCTTATTTGTAACATGGTCAATTCTTATATCTCATATTAGACTGTTCCAATTGTCCAGGTAGACTATCATGAGATTCGTGTAACTAGAATCATATTATTCTAATATTGTATAAGTAGCTCATAAATTATAATTAAACACATTATTTCTTAACATGTCTAATTTTCTTTTTATAAAAGTCGAATAAAATCGTAGTCGTTGATTTGACCTACAATACCTATAATGTTAAAATCTTATCCAATTTATAACGGTTCCGACCATAATATCATTGCATGTGGTATATCGATGGAATCAGCCCAATGAGTAAAGTAAGAAATTATCTTCTTTAGTTGAATAAAATTGAATTATCTTCTTTGACCATGGAGGAATATTAGCTGATCCAGATTAAGAAGTGAATTTCTTAACCTACTCATTGTGCTGATTCCAACCATATACCACATGCAATGATATGATGGTCAGAACCGTTAATATTTTAGTATTGTAGGTATTGTAGGTCAAATCATAGACAACCGATTAAAATACAGTATACAGTAGAATAAATGTATAGTTGGCTATAAGTCCCTAAATTATTAAGTAAACCCTTACACTACTAAATTAGGTGTTTGGAAGCTAAAATGGCTTACTAAGCTAGGTGCAATACATGGACTTAATGTCCACCCCATTGATGAGTTTGTGAACAATACAGGTCATGTACATTGTTTCCATTGATATGAAAACTATGGTACAGTATATCACTATATCAATGAATACCTAGAATAGTTGTGTTTAATTGTATTTGCATTGACCTTCATTGCTAAATATGCTAAATAGCAAAACATTTGAAGTAAACTTCAAATTCTTGAAAACGAATCAACAAATGATTGATTGAATGGTTTAATAACTTTAATGAAATAAACATTTTGAGGAATTCATAACATTATGAGTAATTTATTTAAAAGAAAAATAATAGACAAATTAAAAATTAAACAAAACCTAAACTACAGAAGTCTATACAGAAAGTAATGTTTGAGTAAAAATAAAAATCATGTTATATTACAATGAAATATAGTGAATGTATTGAAACTAAGGTATGATATAAACAATCAATGGATGAGTAAAATCACAAGTTTTTCAATATAATGAATCATTTAAAACAATAAATAAAGAATCGGTCGAAACATTGAGTAANCACTAATTAATAATTATATTTGTATTCAATTACAATAAATAGCGCTAACAATGGATTGAATCAAGAGTTAAATGGATTCATAGATGCATTCAATTGCTATTAAACGCCAATCGAGTCGTGAATAATGAGTCAAACATTGATAACAATTAGTAAACAATTCAATGATTACGACATTCACTCACTTTGTTTGCATTCAATGCTATACTATTGAAGTCTAACACAACGTTACGTTGAGTCTTACGATACACTCAATCGCAGTCACAATCGCCAGTCAACACAACCTCACAAACAAACACTCATTCACTGAATCATTCAACCATTGAATGCCTTCATTGCCACCTTCAGCGCCAAATTTGAACACCACTTCACACTCATTGCTCGCATTTTATAACCAATTTATCTCACAAATGCCTATTAATTCATACATTGTTACAGTATATGTGGTATAACAACAACATTGCTTATTTGTAACATGGTCAATTCTTATATCTCATATTAGACTGTTCCAATTGTCCAGGTAGACTATCATGAGATTCGTGTAACTAGAATCATATTATTCTAATATTGTATAAGTAGCTCATAAATTATAATTAAACACATTATTTCTTAACATGTCTAATTTTCTTTTTATAAAAGTCGAATAAAATCGTAGTCGTTGATTTGACCTACAATACCTATAATGTTAAAATCTTATCCAATTTATAACGGTTCCGACCATAATATCATTGCATGTGGTATATCGATGGAATCAGCTCAATGAGTAAAGTAAGAAATTATCTTCTTTAGTTGAATAAAATTGAATTATCTTCTTTGACCATGGAGGAATATTAGCTGATCCAGATTAAGAAGTGAATTTCTTAACCTACTCATTGTGCTGATTCCAACCATATACCACATGCAATGATATGATGGTCAGAACCGTTAATATTTTAGTATTGTAGGTATTGTAGGTCAAATCATAGACAACCGATTAAAATACAGTATACAGTAGAATAAATGTATAGTTGGCTATAAGTCCCTAAATTATTAAGTAAACCCTTACACTACTAAATTAGGTGTTTGGAAGCTAAAATGGCTTACTAAGCTAGGTGCAATACATGGACTTAATGTCCACCCCATTGATGAGTTTGTGAACAATACAGGTCATGTACATTGTTTCCATTGATATGAAAACTATGGTACAGTATATCACTATATCAATGAATACCTAGAATAGTTGTGTTTAATTGTATTTGCATTGACCTTCATTGCTAAATATGCTAAATAGCAAAACATTTGAAGTAAACTTCAAATTCTTGAAAACGAATCAACAAATGATTGATTGAATGGTTTAATAACTTTAATGAAATAAACATTTTGAGGAATTCATAACATTATGAGTAATTTATTTAAAAGAAAAATAATAGACAAATTAAAAATTAAACAAAACCTAAACTACAGAAGTCTATACAGAAAGTAATGTTTGAGTAAAAATAAAAATCATGTTATATTACAATGAAATATAGTGAATGTATTGAAACTAAGGTATGATATAAACAATCAATGGATGAGTAAAATCACAAGTTTTTCAATATAATGAATCATTTAAAACAATAAATAAAGAATCGGTCGAAACATTGAGTAATGTTATGTTTGGATTGATTGGTGTTCGAGTCATAAGTTGTTTTTGTAGGTATAGGCGAACAGAGGACTGGCATCATATGAAAGCTTACGACCATTTATAAGACATTGTACTGAAAGTAGAATATACCGTATATTGAGTTATATATTGAATAATTATATATTGAATAAAAATAATACCTATATATTCACTGGAAATGACAGGAATTTTCACTTGTTTAGCCTTTTTCACTAATTCTGGCGAACAGCTCGAGTCTCCTATTATGATATCAACACATTTACCTGCAATCAAACAAATCATTTGTTATTTCCATTCATAACCAACCGATCAATGAGTCTATACTCACGGGAAAGATTTGTGACCGAAATAGAGTTGTCCTCAACAATGAGTGCCTGAGCGGCAGACAGAACCGGTGCCCACAAACTGTGCAACTTTTCAGGCGTTTTCGACCCGAAGTAAAACTTTGTTCCTTTAAATAGAGTCGAACTCTTTTTGAATGTATTCCTATAAGTGAATAGCAATTAGCGGTTAATTAATATACTGTACTGTATAGTCAAATACTGATAAACTCAGTCAATAAACAGTTGACTCACTTATCAGATGGTAACGCATTTGTAATGATACTAAAGCCGGCGGGAAGTGTATAGTTATCCCGCTTTAGGTATTTGTTTTGTCGACAGCAGTCAATGACCCAGAGATGACTGGCAATCGATATGCCGGCCGCCAAGCATTGGATGTATTTAATAGAGCGGTGATATGTATCGGCTATAAGAACAGTGTCCTGATTCTCACTGCAATTCTATATTCAATAAAATAATGTCAAAACCAATCAATTGAATGAGGGTCGGGTCGGGGTCGGGGTCGGGATGCCTTACCTTCATATCATCGAATGACTCGAACACTCTTCCGCCTCCCGTTTCGATTTGTTTGGTTAGGTAGAGCTTATCGAAAGGAGTGGATCGCTCGGGATTGGACTGTTCGCTACACAAGTCTTCGCTACTATTCCTGTCGCCACACGTTAACAGAAAGCAAACACTTTGGAAAATCTGAGACCCGATCTCAGGTAAGGGACCCAAGAGTTTGATGAGTTCCTGCGCCGGGATCGACGAGTGAACTTTGGTAGCTCTCGGAGAGATAGACAACGAGTGCTCGCTGTTGAACAGCATGTTCTGAGACTCCAGTTTCTTCCTATTGGTGCGAATGTTTGCCTTCTTCTTAGTCTTGTAGCCGAATGTCTGGTCGTCGTCCTCATCGTCCTCTTCGCCATCATTCACATAATCCACGTCAACGGACACGGCATCGGCGGCACGTCTCTTGCCATTCTTGAACTGTTGTATCGGCTTTTCTATTGTTTTCTCGGCCTTTGCCGTAACCCTAACCCGCTTTCCGCTCACAATGTTATCCAAATCCACGTCCGCAAAGACGGCCCCATTTATTGACGGTTTACTAGACTTCAACCCAATGTTAGCGCTCTGTTCTGTGTTTAAAAATATATCTTTCAGTGGATATCTTTGAATCACTAGTTTATCCTCTTTTAGGCGCTCGACATCGAAAAACAAGCCATTCGTGTCATTAATTACTTTACTAATCGTAGATTTCACACAAAACCCATCACTAATGGCTACCATAACGTCCTGTCCCTCAACCAAATGTGATAACTGGATGAGTTCCGTATCGAATAAGCTTTTAGTGGCTCCGTCTTCGAAAACAACGGACCACTTGTTGTTTTGTGGCAAATGTTTGGATATAAGCGCCGGATAGAAGTTCTTGTCCCTCCACTTAGCCATCACTCGATTTCCCGGTTTGATTGCAAAGCCCGTCGACAACACCAGACCATCGCTCGAGGGATTGCAGTCTATATTCAGACTTCTTTGAGTCAATGACAAGAGAGCGGTTGCCGTCTCTCTCCTCTCCTCACTCGATTTCCCGGTTTGATTGCAAAACCCGTCGACAACACCAGACCATCGCTCGAGGGATTGCAGTCTATATTAAGACTTCTTTGAGTCAATGACAAGAGAGCGGTTGCCGTCTCTCTCCTCTCCTCTTCGTCTCTTTCATTGTTCTTCGTTTCGACACTTTGTTGTCCAACAGTTGTCACACTTTTAATGTCTTCTTTCAACTCATTAGGGACTGGAGTTCTCTCAGCATTAGAAGCAAAGCTAGTGTTGACGCGAACGACAGGATTGGGTGCCATAGGAACCGGAGTTTTGTTAAAAATCTCGTTTTTATTTTTAATGGAATGGCCTTTAGATGGGCTGTCGGTGTTGTGGTTGTGTCGCACTTCCACTGATGAACACGTGCTCCGCACTGAAGAACTCACGTCAGCCAACACTCCAGAACTGGGATTAGAAGCAAACCGCGAGACATGACTTATAGAGGATAACGGAGTGGTCGAAGTGGTGCTGTCATTGTAGTCGACTTTCTCACAATTCCTTACAATCTCTTCATTCTTAACGACAGTCTCTTTGAGAACTTTTCCCGACTTATCGACGATTTGATCGATAACTTTAAATATAATCAAAGTTCGTTTCAGAGCTCCCGGTGACTCCATGGCATGCGTTTGGACTATACTATCACTCATCACTTGTGAGTGATTTTTATGAACGTTCATGTTTGAGATATTATTGTGATTATTGTTATGAATAATCATATTATTCATGGTTTGGTTGACAGGTGTTGAAGTTGTCGACGGATTCATTGCCGACACGTTTGGAACAAAGTTAGAGATTCGGTGCCGAGGAATATAACTGGAAGGAGGGGTCACTTTGACGGCATTCATATGGTTGGGCTGAACGCCTCCACTCATCACTAGGTCTTTGGGCCCTCGGCTTTGGTGTCCAATCATATTGTTGTGGTTCTGATTGTGGGACCAATTGTTCATTGAAGCCATTCTGACAATTAAATTCATAATTAATTGAACGCCAATTGTATGAAATGAGTGAACGCACGGATAGTTCTGTGGAACCGATAGGTTTCCAACGCTTCCATAAGTGTTTTGTCCAGAAATTGAATTATCAGTTTCCGAGACATGAGTGACAGTCTCTGCCACTGAAGA